AAAGAAGGGCATCCACTGACAAGGTGTTAGACAGTCTCTGTAAATTTATTACATAGTCGACATTTCATATTGATATTTTCTTTAAGAATCACATTTTAGCGATTACGAGTGGGAAGTGACTAGTCCTGAGCAGCAAAGAGGAAGCCCTCAGTTTCACATTTAAGACCAGCCGACTTCATCCAGGCGAAGGAGTCGGTGGAATTGCTCTTCTGTTCCACACACTGCATGCAATGGTTTCTCAGATAGCTTGTCCACAAATGACCGACTCTGGGCAGACTTGGTGGAGGACTTCACCTGGTGTACTCCCATCGTTGTACCGTCCAGCAGTACATCGCCATCAACAAAATCAACATCAGATTTCAGATTCTGTCCAACAACCTTAGCACGCTTAAAATAGCTGTCGAATTCCTTGCTTTCATCATGAGTCTTCACATGCATCACCAGAGGATCATCCGATACATAAATATGTGCAAAAGTACACAATAAAATTCTATCATGAAGAGCCTCCACATTAATCAAACCCCGACCTCCAGAATTGATTGGCATATATAAACGGTTAAGAGAGGAACGGGGGTGGTGGGCTCTGTTATCAGACAAGATCCTTCTGGTCAGACGGTCAAGACTCTGGATGTCTTGTTTTGTCCAATCAACTACTCCAAAGGAATAGGAAAGGACTGGCACAGCAAAAGTATTGGTGGCTTTGACCTTGTTTCGAGCATTTAGCTCTGAGCTCCAGATTTTCTTTAAGCGAGATTTGTTTTTCTTGAATTTGGGCATTCTGGAGCTTGTCGCGAACTTGCATTCCAAGATAGGTGAAGGTCTGATCTTCCACAAGATGCTCAACCGATTCTCGAACTTGACCGATCCACCATTAACTACCTTGCCACGTTTCAAATGAAGAGTATTACATTTGTCGAGCCCAAACGTCATGCCAATATCATTAGAAAAGGACTCGACAAGGAGAACCTGTTTTTTTCAAATTGGTATCTCCTTTGGCAAGGATCTTGATGTCATCCATGTAAAGGAGATGAGTAAGCGGTGTTGGGGATCTGTGCTGAGGAGGTCCGGGATGGTAACCCTCCTCTCTGTTGAGTAGAAAGCTCAAAGGATTTAGAGACAAACAAAAGAGCAAAGAACTAAAGGAGTCCCCCTGGAATATTCCCCTTCTGATTGGAATAGATTCCTTGCGAGTACATCTCAAGTCGAGTCGACCAGCAACTCATTAAAGACTTGAGTAAATCAAGTAGTCGCTCCGGGAGGTCAACACAACAAAGAAACTTCAGAATCCATTCATGAGGGACAGAGTCGTATGCTGTTTTGTAGTCAATCCAGCACATGGAGAGGTTGCGGTGATATTATTATCAGGATTATTGATGTCATCCTTCTTAATAATGAAACTACAAATAGACTGTGCTAAGGTTCTACGAAAAAATTCAGTACCAGCAAACATAGATAAAACATGTATAAAAGATTGGTAATATGCAGTCTTTGGAAGTTTTCATCATCTCTACAAAATATTGTCCAGGCCAGGTGATTTGCCACTATCAAAAGTTCCAACGGCGTCGAGAATTTCGCTTTCTGTTATTGCCCAGTCAAGCATTTCCACATCACATTCTGTAAAGTCACTGGTCTCTAGACTATCCATAGTTTCTAGCAACTGAGTTGTACTATCACAATCAGAATCGTCATCAGAAGACAGAACAGAAATGTGACATTCACTGGTCGATTGTTCTATTACAAGCCACGTAACCTATACTTTTCAAGTAACGAGTTTCACGATACACTTTACCAGAATGTTCTTTCAACTGAAGATATCTTGGTTCCTTCTTGTATAATCTACATGATTCCTTATATGTATTCCTTAAAGTACAAAAAGTCTGTCTTGCAATCAGTTCGTCTAAACCTCCCAAGCGCCTTCCTCGTCTCACGCTTGCAGAAATACACCCATCGTAACGTTAGCGTCTTGACACCTTCATTTAACTGAAGGCCTTTCCTTGATTTGGTTGCATCCAGTATTTGACTTACAAACTATTTGACGGCAGCATCTAGATCTATGTCAATATATTCGGTTAAATATTGGAAAAGGGCATAAATTTTATCTGTCAAACAGACTTTAAAGTGATTAAATAAATATCCACCTATACGTTTCCGGGAGATTAGGTGTAATTCCCCATAGATTATCTGGCAGCCAATTAGGAAAGTAACAAGAGAGGGCCAAAGGCTGGTGGTCAGCCTCAAGACGTTGACCCATTTTTAACATTGCTATATAATATCAAAAAATTCAAGTGAAGAAATAAAGTAATCCGTTACACTACCTCCTTGTGTGCTTATGTAGGCATGCTCACCATTGGCATCGCCAGATACCTTTCCGTTTACCATGAAAAAGTCCATATGTGTAGCATGTATTTAACAGTTTTCTGCCAAACGCGGTTATTACATTTATCTTTGGATGTCCTTTCGCTGACAGAATGATAATCTCCACCAATACAGGGAGAACCAATAATATCATCAGCAACAGAATCAGCCTCGTGCGTTCAGGATTACTCTTAGTTGTTGTGTATCATCAATAAGCAGGTTCCAACAATTACTAAAGGGGGAAATGTTGTCAAATAGGAATTCCTACAGCGTATCGAGCGCACATGTCAAGTTAGCAGTGTAGTAATAACTTAAACCAGTGGGAGGGATATACACAGATATGTACAATATAGTAAAGCCAAAAACATGTTTGCACAACTTTATACAAATAAGGTTATCCATACCCGTTGTGATTCTCCGAAAATGTTCACTGAACATTTCTTTCCGCATACCCATAAAACACGGCATATGCGACCGTAACAGTTGTCCCTCTTGGATAAGATCCGTTATCGACATGGACGGTACTATTAGATTATCTCCCTTTGACCATATACAGTTTACGATCGTTGCAGCATAATCTGAAGATGACGAGCTGTAACCTTTTGACTGACAGGTTTACACAGACAGGTCTCTGTAATGGTACTACAGAAATTCATGAACAGGGTTTAAACACTATATACGTGGGGGTGTAAAAGTAAATAATTTTTATAAAAATTGTGTGAGTATATGTAGAACAGGCTATGTTCGCCCTTTTGTATGGTGTCATCACCGAATTCCTGTGTCATATTATTTTCAACACTATTTTGCCTCTCCAGACAATGTACAATCGAGATCCGGTATGCTTTCGTGTTGAATTAACAGTTTGTGAACTATGGATTGATTTACAGATAAAGAACATATTTCAGTTATAATTAATTATGTCATTGTATTGTTGACAATGGTGAATTACGTAACATACTAACAAACCCCTTAGGCTTAAGTGCATATTGTGAATGCTAAGTTTGAAAGAAGGATTATCCTAATAAATATACGAGCGTCCGGCGTCATAAAGCTGGAATACTGCAGAGTGTGGCGTTAAACATCCAACAAACTAAAGCATTTAACATGAACAAAATAGTGAACACCCCGCACAGCTGAGATTTGTTTATACATGAACACAATAGTGAACACCCCGCACAGCTGAGATTTGTTTATACATGAACACAATAGTGAACACCCTGCACAGCTGAGATTTGTTTATACATGAACACAATAGTGAACACCCTGCACAGCTGAGATTTGTTTATACATGAACACAACAGTGAACACCCCGCACAGCTGAGATTTGTTTATACATGAACACAATAGTGAACACCCCGCACATCTGAGACTTGTGTATTCATGAACAAAATAGTGAACACCCCGCACATCTGAAACTTGTGTATTCATGAACACAATAGTGAACACCCCGCACAGCTGAGATTTGTTTATATATGAACACAATAGTGAACACCCCGCACAGCTGAGATTTGTTTATACATGAACACAATAGTGAACACCCCGCACATCTGAGATTTGTTTATACATGAACACAATAGTGAACACCCCGCACATCTGAAATTTGTGTATTCATGAACACAATAGTGAACACCCCGCACAGCTGAGACCTGTGTATTCATGAACACAATAGTGAACACCCCGCACAGCTGAGACTTGTGTAGTCATGAACACAATAGTGACACCCCGCACAGCTGTGATTTGTGTAGTCATGAACACAATAGTGAACACCCCGCACAGCTGAGATTTGTTTATACATGAACACAATAGTGAACACCCCGCACAGCTGAGACTTGTGTAGTCATGAACACAATAGTGAACACCCCGCACATCTGAAATTTGTGTATTCATGAACACAAAAGTGAACACCCCGCACAGCTGAGACCTGTGTATTCATGAACACAATAGTGAACACCCCGCACAGCTGAGACTTGTGTAGTCATGAACACAATAGTGAACACCCCGCACAGCTGTGATTTGTGTAGTCATGAACACAATAGTGAACACCCCGCACAGCTGAGATTTGTTTATACATGAACACAATAGTGAACACCCCGCACATCTGAGACTTGTGTAGTCATGAACACAATAGTGAACACCCCGCACATCTGAAATTTGTGTATTCATGAACACAAAAGTGAACACCCCGCACAGCCGAGACCTGTGTATTCATGAACACAATAGTGAACACCCCGCACAGCTGAGACTTGTGTAGTCATGAACACAATAGTGAACACCCCGCACAGCTGAGATTTGTGTAGTCATGAACACAATAGTGAACACCCCGCACAGCTGAGATTTGTGTAGTCATGAACACAATAGTGAACACCCCGCACAGCTGAGACTTGTGTAGTCATGAACACAATAGTGAACACCCCGCACATCTGAAATTTGTGTATTCATGAACACAAAAGTGAACACCCCGCACAGCTGAGATTTGTGTAGTCATGAACACAATAGTGAACACCCCGCACAGTTGAGATTTGTTTATACATGAACACAATAGTGAACACCCCGCACAGTTGAGATTTGTTTATACATGAACACAATAGTGAACACCCCGCACAGCTGAGATTTATTTATACATGAACACAATAGTGAACACCCCGCACAGTTGAGATTTGTTTATTCATGAACATGAGATGATGGCCACGTCTTTATAACACGGACACCTTGAGTAAACGACTGAGACAATAAACAACATGAGCAAATCATCGCATCCGACAAAACTACATCAATTTTATCTGTCGACCGAGGAACGTAATCACTGGTTCTCTCGTTTGAACACAACATGGCCGACTGCCACACAGTTTCAGAGAGCCCGTGAATATTTATTTAATTAACACATATCGTTATTTGATGAGTTCGTTCAGACAACAATGCTACAACTCTCACAACGTGGTCTGCGACACCATCAGCTGCAACATGAGCTGCAATATGAACTACACTGAACAAAAACACATAAGTTATACAGTTTGTTCATATCCACGACGTATGAAAATATATATTCCGCTGTCGTATTTGAATCATGTCAGTTATGAACACGTATAAAACATATAAAACTCACAAGAAACATACCCTTCATCCGTTTATAAATGTCTTTAACTGGCTGTCTATATGTAGAAACCCTCGACCATCACAGTATCAGTATGTTTGTACATGTGGTAATGCTGAATGTCACGTGCCCCGTCATACAATATATCTACATCAAACATCAATCAGATCTCATCATTCAAATGAGACCCGCAATAAATTAAAATTTATTGACAATACATCTAAAAATAATTAATTAATGCTATGAATAAAAATATTGTTTCGAAAATTAATACAATGTTGACTTCTTTCATTCTAATGTATTTAATGATGGGCGTGTTACTGTTAAGTATTATACCCCTGTTGTCATTCTGGGTATGCTAACGAACCTCAAAACCTTGTGCATAACAAAACTTTTATGTTTGATCATTGTTGGCCTACATCTATATTACAACAAACTGTCAGGCGAAATATCAGCCATGAAATTAGTCCAGGTACAATTAAAATGCGCTTATGCCGAAATGACGGATGTAACGAACAGTGTTTTGTCCCGACCACCCGAGGTATGTTATATTCGAAATGCGTATAACGAACTACGGTTACGAAGAAATAAAACTAGTTCGTAGTTTACGGTCTATTTGTTTAAAAAGAAAATATTCCATTAATTAAACTAGAACTGTCATGAACTCAATTTCATTCTTAGAGCAACATGTATATAACCAGGGTTTTTCCAAGTTGGTGAACACTTGCATGCTGAGGCACCATCACTGCGCCAAAACATTGCATTGAAAGAATATAAATATTGAATGAAGAAACGAATGTTTCCTATCAGTCATACCGAGGTGTCTCAAAGCTGCCTAAAGATGAAAAGTATGCTTGTCAATAATCAGTAACCATGGAAACAGAGGGCAAGGGGCAGTTATATACATGCGTATATTACTTTTGTTTTTTTACTTGCTGGTACGTTGATCTGAAGAATGGTACGTCCTTGAGGTTCAATAGACAACACTGAAAACGTAGTCCAACCTTCCACATTCCACACTTAATACAAACAAAAGTAACATTACCTGACGACTGACACTTTTACATGCGACGTACAATGTCAAATATAAGCATTACCCTCTGATCAAAATAACTAGTTCCCATACTTGCGTGACAAACCCCCATCTCTCGGCTTGACATTGGTTTATTGAGAGAACGTATAAAAGACCAATATATCCTTGAGGAACCGTTCGGGAACAACAATATCCGGATTTATCTGAGCGGATCGCTACAAGATGATTATATCTTATTCAAGATGCTTATGTGTAACTTTGGATTTAAAGCTTCAATTTGTTTAAATATAACACTAGATCAAACATTTAAGATGCTTGAGTTAACACTAGATCAAACATTTCGAGATTCGTAACAATAACAATAGTCCCAGGGATTTAAGATGTTTTAGTATGAAATGCTTGAGTATATAACAAGATAAAAATTATTCAAGGTGCTTGAGCATAAACGTTGATCGAGAGATTCAAAACACTTGAGTATAAAACTAAATCAAAACATTCAAGAAGCTTTTCGTAACATTATATCCAAAGATTCAAAACACTTGAGTATAAAACTAGATCCAAAGATTCAAGATACTTTTTATAACACCATGTCCAAAGATTCGAAACACTTGCGTAAAAAACTAGATCGGAAGATTCATGATGCTGGAGTAACACTACCTCCAATGAAAGAGAATGGGTTAATATAGGCCAATACAACAGACGTATGTTTGAGCAATATGTCGGGTAATGTCGAGGTACAAGTCGGGTTACAATCGACTCCCATCATCCCGAAGTGAAAATTAAAAAATAATAATTATAGTTTAACCCACAACACGCTGATCACTGGTGTGACTACGTGGCTGGCATGTTTCTTTCAAATCTTTGGTTCCGACAATAATATCCCTAGCAAGAAATGGCCATATTCACCACGGTTCATTATCCCAACATCTCACTTACATAGGTGAACATGATCGGGTTGGCCTCGTATGCTGTCATTAAGTATTGTAATGTATCTGATATTGGATACATGTACACATGAAGCGATATTTATACCTGATTTGGTCACCGAATTGAATGAGGATTGAATCCAAATGCCACATTGATCCCACCGAAACAGTGCCTCACTAGTGTGTTTTACTGGTAATGCCTTTTTTGTCTGTGACATCAAGATTAATAAACTGATATTCAGGATGTTTTCTAAATGTACTTCAATATCCACACAATCTGTAAACATTCTTTGGTTTCTTACGTATAAAATAATTAAATCAAAGAAAAGATCCTGTTTTGACCTATACAGGTGTAGTAATTTCAAATACATCTCAAATGCTGTAAGTATCTCGAGCGTGAATAGCGTGTTCCCACAGATCATTATGTCCGAGATGACGGGAGTCGCTGTGGGTGGCCCGGGCACTGACCCCTTGTGACACCACAACCTTACATTACAACTGTCACGTGGTTGTGCACTCTGTCTGACCACTAGGGCAGTCAACTAATGTCTTTGTCACCGAACCCTTTCATACACGTCACCAATGTTCGTTTGCCGATACCCATATGTACACAACTTTAAATACTGATTGCTTTTTTAACACTTTGCACATTCGTTGCTAAATTCAACAGCTTGTAGATGAGTATTGTCCAGTCATAAACAAACTTGCGGGTTGTGGCCTTGTCTTTGTGAGAGGCTTAAAAAGCCTCCTCACAAGCCTTGTGGAGATGTTCCTCAACAGTCATCCAGGTCTCGACAGCAGGTGTCCCTACATGTCCCTTCAGTGGTTGACTGGTCGTTGACTGTTTGATTGGACATGTGTACAGTGTCTTATATCACTATCCCGTCCTTTTGATGTTCCTTCATTGTACACACGAGTTCAAATCCACTTTATCCACGAACTCCAATACTCCACATTCTACAGGAAACACTATACAAACAATACATTACTTGACGACTGAAGTTTTGTTTCCACGACGACACTTGAACCACGTCCACATCATGTCAAACATTCATAAGTATCCCCTCTGATCTAAGAGACAAGCTCCCTCACAACACTTGAATGGCAAAACCGCATCCTTTACATGTCGGCTTGTCGTTGGTTCATTGAGAGAACTTATATAAGGTCAATATAGCCTTGAGGATCTGCTTCGGAACTTCATATTAACAATATCTTTGACTGTTTGACGCACTGTGTCATATTCCTATGACTATTCTGTCCTTTTGGTGTTCCACGATTTCAACTCCACTTCATCCGAAGGATATGCCATCCCTGTGTTGACCCTGTGTTGCCATCCCTGATGTGACCCACGCGACCACGATGAAGTGACAAAAGGCCGGTATTCGCTGATATACAGTGTCCAGTGGCCGCCTTGTCTTCTTTCCTTGTAGCATCCACAGTAATAAGGTCAGAAAGTCCAGAACTGATGTCTCATCCTCAGCATCAGTTCAGTCATGCATGTCCTCACAGAGACAGTCGCATCAGCACCATTCACACCTTACATACTAACTCTCACACCGGGTCTGTGGTAGTCACAGTATTCTGGGCTCGTAACTTTTGCATTCTTCTCCTCCCAAAGAAGGCAGCTAATAAGCATATTGTCGCCAGCACTGGGAGACAGACAAGAACGATACCTCCCGCTAGTGTGCCCTTCCGTCTCGCCTTCCCACCATGCACTATCAACATCACACCTGAAAAAATAGGAAAGAGGTACACTATAGGCGTCACCTCGAGATCTGGACATTCGGTTATCTAATTTATATTACAAAGGTAAGTTGTGCAGATGTACCGAAGAACCCTCAGGTAATATGGAGCTACTTCAATAAATCCAGTGAAAAAAATGTATGTACACTGAATATACGTCAATACTATGCAATACGACACTGCATGCGATTTCTATCGCCATGAATCAGGATGAAGATGTCAATTCCTGTGGCCTTTAGAGAAAGAACAACACGGCTACCAAATACATAGTATAGAGCCCGGCTGTCGAATATCGCTGGGATGCTGCACGTGACTCACCTCCAGGAAGGGCGATGAAGGTCAGGAAGAGGAACAAACACACCAACGACACCACGCAGCATTTCTTGCCCAGACAGCGACTCTTCTGGCGGACGTCTGAAAGCAAATTCCATCATATTACAATCAGCTCTGGGGTTTATGAATATTATGTTGAATCGTTAGACAGTTTGGTCGTGGGGGCAATAATTCTGTCACTGATTTGCCAATGTCAAAAATAAATGACAAATTCATGAAGGTCCCTAGGTCTTTTGTCACTGAATTCGTCAACGTAAAAAATTGATGATAAATTGATGATGATCTCGAGATCTTTTAGGCTTACTGCTATAGAATTTGAAACTGGGGACCCTCCAAACATGGAGAACTGCTCCTGCTTCAATCACTGCTTCTGTACTGTACAAACCCAACAGGTCGTCGGTAGTGGCGACCCGGCCGTGGGTTTGAGACAAGGTACATAAATACACTGATTTCATTCAGTCCCTCATATGCAAGTATCCATCGATCAGTGAAGAGATAATATCTTCACACAGCTGCCTGGTTCGTCAAGAACGCCCAAAACTGTGATCCACCATTTCCTGCTTCACTTCTTTATACCTGTTTTTGTCACAGTGACATGTAACTCACTGCAATTTGTTTATCTATTGGTGCCTAACACCGCACTCAGAAGTATTCCAGCTATATGTCACATGTGGACATACGTGTGTACGCATCTGCACACGTTACTCCAGTGAGTAACGGTCTACGTCATGGACAAGGGTGACACGCAATCATTTGAGACATAGTGTGTGATAACCGATACATTTTTTTAATTTGCTTACGACAGCAACTCATGCGACAACCCCTTTTACGACAACGCTTCTTACGACAACCTCTTTTACGTCAACGCTTCTTACTACAACCTCTTTCACGACAACGCTTCTTACGACAACCTCTTTCACGACAACGCTTCTTACGACAACCTCTTACACGACAACGCTTCTTACGACAACTCCTTTTACGACAACGCTTCTTACGACAACCTCTTATACGACAACGCTTCTTACGACAATCTCTTTTACGACAACGCTTCTTACGAAAGCGTCTCGAACGGCAATGCCTCTTACGGAAATACAACTATGCGGTAGTAATGAGTCGTTCATGGGTGAGTAAATGAAACTGATTTTACGCCGCCTGTTCAATATTCCAGCCTCTTACATTCAAGGCGGTAGACACCTGAAATGACCTTCAGACATTGTACACATCGTGACATGGCGGGACTTGAACACGTGTCATCGGTATGAGTAGCACCTTCGGAGGTAGGAGGGGTATTTTGGCCTGTTGTATTAATAATAATGATAACAAAAATGCGCATACAATGTATTATTATTCACCGGAAGTACACTTTGACCCATAGAAGCGGGATTACGATAGTACCGGCTTCGTCGGATTACAAGTTAAGTGATATATATATTTTAAAGGCGCACAGTGTGAGATGGCTTAGAGGGATTAGAAAACTAACGTGACTGAACATGTCATACATCACATGGTCATCTTGCCTTGTAAGGACACGGAGATTATAACATAGTTAGTCTCATTGAAAACACACCACTATTAGAAACGATACATCCTAACAGCATCGTGGATATGGTGTATTCTCAATTATACACGTCGCTACAAAGTGTTCCTCCTCTTCACGTACTGGTTCACTCTTGTGTCTTTTACCGCTTCGAGTCGCATGGCATAAATGATAAAAAGTGCTAGTTTATCAATTCAAGGCTGTCGGATTTGACGCAAATGTGGGAATATACGAAGGGAAATCGCTAACAGTACGAGAAAACACAATGTATAGCGCCAATACTGCTTCATAGAACAGTTACAAGAATATCCCGTGTGATACCTCAAGTACAGGTGACCGCTTCGAGTCCAGAATGCTCTGTATAACTATACTGACGTACAAAAGAAAGTATACACCTGGTGTTTTGGGACTATTCCCAGTAAAACCATAAATATTTTGCTAGCAATGTTGTAATTGGGTACAGTATCTGTGGTGTTTTGGAAACACTTGCATAATGTTTGTGACAAGGCAGAATCAAAACACTTTTTAAAATATCAATGCTGTTTTAAAGAAAATGTTTTACCAAAGAATTAGGTGTGTACTTTGTTTTGAACGTCAGTTTATATATCTGACCGCTTCTGGGTCAAGTAGATAGAGTGTCAGCCTATCAAGTGGAAGGTCGATGGTTCGATCCCCGTCATACATTCACCAGACGTTAAAAGGTGGCACTTATTGTTACCCTGCCTCGTGATCGACGTTTCGGGACGAATCAAGAAGTGGTCGGCTCGTATCCAGTATCCAGATGGTACCTCAGTGTGCTAGCGCCACAAAATCCCCTGGCTAATACAAACACACTTCAAATCCCATCCCGTCAAGACCAATCACATCACATCACATCACATCACATCACATCACATCACACATGGAACGATGACAAGAAACAAGGCACGCCATCATCCACAACGTCCCTACCTCTTCCCGACATCGTCACGACGTTATGGCGACTGTGTGCCAGATCTCCTAGGCTTTTCTGGCACTGTCCGACCCTGGGTCAACAACATGGTTGCCGATCGTAATGGCACATTATCCGCCCGAGTCTCCCGTAGCCACACATCCGCCCCGTCAACCCAGGAGAAATGGGTCACATACCATGCACAACATTACTACTTCATCGTCACAAAGTCCTTCACAATCGCCTTTCGTCTAATCGCCTTACAAGAATTGGGTAATTATGAAAACATTTCACAACAAACATGGATGAAAAGTCGCCTGCAACAATTACGCTAAATAGGAACGCGAGTAGGGTAGCAATGGTCACATTCCAATAGCCCTTTGTTGTATAATCTTGTACGTCCAATAATATAAGTGTAATACAATGCATAATGGCTTCAATTAGCTGATGCCCCGCCCATGTGATGCCTATTGCCAGTGTAAACTCGTGACCATGACTTGCTTGTTCACAGTTAAATACGTATGTCCCGTAATTGACTAGGTACGACAAACAGATAGTCGAGCTTTGGGTAGTTTTGTTAAATTCGCATGCCTGTTTACATTTTAGTTTATGGTTGCAGTACATTTAGAGCTATCAAAACTGGTGAGTGAGTGTGTTTAGTTTTACGCCGCACTCAGCAATAGTCAAGCTATATGGTGGCGGTCTGTAAATAATCGACTCTGGACCAGACAATCCAGTGATTAACAGCAGGAACATCGATCTACGCAACTGGGAACCGATGACATGTGTCAACCAAGTCAGCGAGCTGACCTTCCGATCCCGTTAGTCGCTTCTTACGACAAGCATGGGTTACTGAAGACCAATATTCTAACCCGGATCTTCATGGGTCGCAGGACATTGTAAGTTAGACGCATCATTGACAAGAATTATGCCTTATGCAATTCCCTATTTTGACTTGCACCAGCAGTCCTGGCGTTTATATGTGAACAATTGACTTCCCTGTGCATGTGTTTGTGCCGGGGGCCACCGATGGGGCAGGACGTGCTAACGTTTTCGCGAACACCTGGTAGCATCTATACAATATAACCAGGGTGCACTGTATATTTGATAATGATTCAGAAACATGTTCATGATATAATCGCAATAGCACAAATATTCAATTTTCACATGAGATGTCGTATGATCATGGAAAGAGCTTTTCCCCTTATATTGACACATATAATTTACATTCACTGTTTCCCGCTTTAGCGCTAGTGTTTCCCAGCACTGTGAACAGCTGGTTGAGCGGATCGAAGCCCAAAACACGGATCAGCCTATTTGATTGACGTGAACTCCAGTTAGGTCCCGGGACAAATATTGAGTAATCAATTCGATAACGATCCAAACTAAATCCGGTTTTTTACTGAAACTGATTATTGTTATGTGTTTACAGGTGAATAGTTAATGTTGATCGTTACTCAGCTTCCACGGTGTATTGTCAATATTCTGACAACACGTCGCCTTTTTAGTTGAGTACGACATTACGCAAATATTTCACCACATTGCCAACGTGGTGGGACGCTGTAAGGGGTTTACGTAAACATTAGTCTCTCGTACAGACCCTGAAGCAAATATATCCACGAAAGCCCACACAAGTCTAGAAAATGTGGCAAGTCTAGATTTCCTCAGCTTCAGATGACTTATAAAATCTGAGTATTTTCTTTAACTGTTTCATTTTACACTGGCGAGGAGAGGGGATCATTTCGAAAGGTTTTCCATCTCAGGGTAAAAATGAATTGGAACTTTGATGATTTGCATGATGAAGAGACAAACAGAGAAATATAAATCATTTGTATCAAAGCAGTGAACCTCAACGATGTAGGCATTTGTGACTTTATCCATAAATTTTGAAAAGACATTGTCATGGGGATCTGATGGCATATTGTTATCCCGCGTAACAACGAAGTTGCGGGGAAATATGGAAACGAGTTCCGTCCGTCCGTGCTTCCATCACGCTTTGTCCGAAGCATATGTCCTAAACTATTTGTGATAGCTTAACCAAACTTGGTACACATGTCAAGCATGATCCCTAGATGTGCCTTTTGGGGGTTAGACCCAGATTCTATTATTTACAGACAGCTGGAATATTGCTGAGTGTGGCATAAAACTAAACTCACTCACTCACTGCTATATACACACCAAAACATTTGACATAATCATAACTAACTGACATATACATGAAGAGTATTTTGCCATTGCGGGGGATATTGATGACTTTTTCTGCTTGTTACATTATATATATGCGACATCAATTAAACTTCCACATATAGTGCAGACACAACCTTTGGATTTTGGAGAATATAAATAACTTTGGATTTTGTTTGGTGACATCCAGTTGTCCAGCCATAGGATTATCAAGAGATGCTACCCTTAGCTGGTATCCCTGCTTGCTCTCAAAATAGATTTGGCGACACTTGATACTCATTACCCCAAATCGGCCCACACCACTGGCAGTAGGACCGGGAGGCGGTGGGGGCAGTAAATATTCCTGTCACACACAATTAAAGCAGTAATAGGTGATAAGCATCTTTGCATGTGTTGTGAAATTCCAAAAAAATAATCCCTCTGCAGATTTGTTTAGTCTCTGAAAATGAAGAAAGTCTCAGGGCTCCTTTTCATTATATATAATTTTTTTTTACTATGAACTTTTTTCAGTAAAATATGTTCATTTCAGAGACTAGTTGTTAGTCTACGTAAACATATACCTGTCATAACGCATCTGTGTAATAACACGGCATAACGTATATCTGTGTAATTAAAAGGCATAACGCATATCTGTGTAATTACACGGAAATCTTACCACGGTAATAGTTCCAATGACTAAACTTCAAGGAATGTGAACCAGCGATGTTTCGGTAGGCAGTATATGAATATTAACACACATGCAGTGACTATAAGTGATAAAACGAACTGCTTATCTATCAGGGCGATGACCTGAATTAAAGACACTCCACGTGACGGGTACATAGATATCAACATTATGAACATCATTTATACACTACTGAAGTAAAACTGTTTAAGAGAGAGAGAGGTGTGTTTATTAATATACACCTCTCTCTCACTAAGAATTAAAGACAATTTCGCCACCAGACAGCACAACGGTACATTGAGTGTGGAAACTCCATACACTGTACTAAATGCCACGCGGTGCGTGACGTGAACATGCTTGTTTACACGAGGGTCACAATGACCCACAGTATATCCTGTCTCCCCGTCACCATGCCCACCCCACACATCTCTCCCCAACCCTGCTCACCTCTCCTCGTCTCGCCCGTCATGGGCTCTGTCTCACTCGTCGTGCCCGCCATTTGGAGCTGTGCGTGAGCGCCCACACTAGATCCCACTGAACACTACACACTGACACGTATGGTGAATCTGCTGTAAAGACTCTTGTCCCTGTCTCAACAATGAAATCACGTCCTCTCCTCTAGATATAAGTCTCGCTCGGTTGGTCAAGGCTATTTATAACTGCATCGGATCATCTCTGACAATAATTTCTTGACTGTTATCGGGATTTCTAAAGCGACACATGACGTCACATTGACCTCTTTAAACTGCAGTGCGTATGACCTCTGTATTGATTTTTCGACGCGCGATCTGAAAGTCCTTGCTGATAGACGAAAACGATGTATTTGCTTCGACGGTGCCAAAACCCCCAGAGCAGTTCCAGATTAGGGTCTGTTTTGATTCGAGATCCCTTGTGATATTTCTCGGAATCTGTTAGCAGCCAGGTGGATCATGATAATCTCCGGACACGACACAAATATTTGTCCCACAAGAACCTAACAGATGGACTTTGGGTCGATCGCTACCAATGATCCAGGTAACCGGGAAATGTAATTCGGAGAGACTGGGCCCCTAGCTGTCCATCTCGCCAGTGCTGCAATCTAGTCCTGACGTGTAAACAATACAATTACCCCCTAATGTCACGAGGACACCCATCTGATGAGGAAATGCCAGGGGCAACACCGAGTGTCTGATATACAAATGTCAGCCGTTGGTCGCAGACAGGATGTAAACTGCTCAAGAGGGTTATTTTCGGTGTAGCTATTTTCTGGGGGGAGGGGATGTTTTAGAGTGACTGTAACACGAATCTCCAACCTGCTACTTGATACAGTAATAGGTACCAGTATTATATACAGGTGATTATAGCAATAAAGACATTGGTGATAATCACCTCGCTGCCACAGTGGCTAAGCTTCCAAAACAGGCTGGATATTCAGGGTGAAAAGTGATCGTCACACACAACTGCCGGACTTCTTGAAACATGGCATACACTGTTAGATGCTTGAAGCAACGGCACACCCATTTATATATAAACAAAAGCTTCCTAAACTTTATCAAACACTCTAAGTATATATACTTTGATAGAGATAATCAAATATGTCATTATCCAGGTTTGATGTCGGCACAAAACATGGAACTAACGACAAAACGATATCCGATGGTGATTAATATAATCCATTAGGAATATACCACACTCCTCGTTTCTCAAATTTATTATCAAACTGGTTAGTCAGATCGTCAAACTAATGTAACTGTGCTTTGTTACTGAGCACAGAGAGAAAATTTTGTTACTGACCACAGAGAGATAACTATTGAAAATCTTAATTTCCACCGCTATTTGGTCTTCTGTGGCAATTAGAATTCCTTTCGGCAGATAATCGGCACTTGTTCTGATGATAAACCACTCTATATATGTGAAGCTATGTAGTCGACAGTGAAGTCAGGGCAGGACTTGCCATCACTTGTAAACCTGTCTCTCGGACATACATGTAGGCTGCATGCATGTCGCTGGTCGAGGTGACATATCTAGAGCGTGTCCTGCACCAGCCCGTTAATAACATCCCTGGTTGGGCGAAGGTCTACATTCCAGCCTGCATTCTCATCCGTACACACGTCTCGTATCTCGGGTTAGCATAAACTTAATTCATCCCTCCCCCCTCCCCGTAATTCCTCCCACGGCAATCTTCTTCTGATGAGGAGACGTAAACTCTCAATGTTGGCACCCCACGCCAATTTAAACAGTCTATTGGCAGCTGGGCCAGGGTCAGCGTCAGAATACTGATGGTTGATACATGCAAACGTTCAAAAACTAAAACTGGAATTTTGCCAATTTTTCATTCAAGATCATATTCTCTTAAATGTTTTGTAAGCTTATTTAACAGAAGGAAATTCCTAAACACATCGAATTCATCCAATCGCGAATAGAAATAGATATGGTTAAGAGTGGAAACAGTGATATTTTGCTGAGGGTGTCCATTGAGTCGCAGCGCCATCTTGAATTTTTCGGAAAGTGTGCCCCAAAAATCGGACCCCCCCAAATATATGTTTTATCATGATATTCCCCAGCACTATGCAAAGTTTCATGCTTTAGTCCGCCAAGTATCTATTTTCACCCTGAGCCACTGCACTATAGGGTATCCTTTAGTGTGTCATATACAGACGGGACGGTGGGGTAGCCTAGTGGTTAAAGTCTCCGCTCGTCACGCCGCAGACCCGGGTTCGATTCCCCACATGGGTACAATGTGTGAAGCTCATTTCTGGTGTCCCCCGCTGTGATATTACTGGAATATTGCTAAAAGCGGCGTAAAACGATACTCACTTACTCATCCATGTACAGACCCTGAAACAAATATATCCAAGAAAGCCCATGCAAGTCCAGAATATGTGGCAAGTCTAGAATATGTGGCAAGTCTAGATTACCACAGTTTGAGTTTCTGAAAATGAAGAAAGTCTCTGGACTCCATTCCATTATGTTTTATGATTATAATTTAGGAACCGTTTTTTTCTGTAAATGTTTTTTTCACAGACTAGATCTTAGTCCATATACCCATGTAAACTGCATATGCCTGGAATCATCTCGAACTGAACATCTGAAACCAATCTCGCCTCACCTCACCCTGCTGTAACACAAAGCTCACGCACATGCCAACCCAAAGACAAAAATAACCAGCCCATGTTCAGGTCTAAATCCAATGCGTCCGGTGGATCATTTGAACAGACACTGTAAATCTTTCTTCTTGTCGAATATCATTAACAGAATCTAACCGCATCGACGAATAATCAGCCTCAATATCCCCGTGAGGAACCTCACGTACATAGAACCACTATTGATTAAACAAAAGTCAAACCTCATCCAACATGATAGAATTGTTCGTCAATATGTTTGAATCTCCTGAGACGAGGACATACGATTGCCTTTAATTTAACCCTAAAAGTAACAAGAGACTTTCGTGATAATATCACACCCCCTGGCTCATTTAAACAGAAGAGACAATACAGATAGATTGTAGGCATAGTGGTTTTAGGGATCCAGTTACGTTTGCCCATTTCATTATACGTACAATACCTCCTAAGTCTCCGTATCACTAACGACCGCGAGACTATGCTCAGTCGTGTTCATTCCAAGTTGATTTCATGTCGAATTCGGGAAATCACTCTGACCTCGAGCAAATTACCAGATTCGTTTTTAGCTGAGATAGTCTCGCAAATGATAGCCTGTTATCGCGCATGTCCTCTAACCAGCCGCAAAAAATCCTGTGTCGTTTCAGGTTATGTGAAATGACAGACAGATATTCCAGGGATTTCCTTTTCTGATTTCATTAAGGCCCAAGAAATCGAACTCAGATTTCGGAGGAGTATGATTTATTGGCTGACTAGATTAATATCATCTCGGATTATATCCTGACTTGGACGTTTCATAAATTGTTGTAAACAGTTTTCGCTGTTTCTCCAAAACCGTTTTATCATACAATAGGAACACGACTAGCTATTAGAGTCCTACCTACATTGTGCAATACTGCGATGTATGGGAGAGTTATTGATCATGCTCTAAAACACACACCAACAACACTACACACTGGGAGTACTTAAACATGACTATTGACACTAATGTTAGTACTGGTGTCCCCCGCCGTGATATTGCTGGAATATTGCTAAAAGCGGCGTAAAACTAAACTCAGTCAGTCAGTAGTACTGCCGTCCACCATTCTGTCCTCCGATTTCACCGGGAGACGCCCTTGTCTCTGTATAACATAGATCTGATACACTCACACGTTTTCTATTCAATGATAAATGAGACACGTTGGAAACATTTAGAACTGAGCCCATCGCTCTTAACAAAGCGTCTGTAATTGGACACCAGCTTGCCTCCATGTGTTTTGTACAGCTTCAGTTGACGTTTTCCGGATTTAAGTGTACAGAGAAGGGTGTCCTCTGTACGTAGTCGGAACCGGACTAATGACTTTGATTATATGCAGATACGTTACCATTCTGTGAAGGAGTTAAAGGAGCCTGTCGGTTATCTCTGTAAACATGCAGCGGTCAGCGAAGCAGGGTCACGGACTAACTACGTCCCCTGCTACTTGTAATCGTCCATCGAGTCAGTTTTTACCTATTTTGATTTATGTAGATTTCATTTGAATATTGTGGTGCCGAGAATGTAAACGATCATTCTTGACAAATTTTCTTGGGATAAAATTCTTAATCATTTCATGACATACGTCAAGAAGCGTCTGTAAAATATCAAATCAAAGCGTAAAATTAGATGCGAATGATCTCGGAGAAATGACAAAAATAAAACGGCAATGGACCATTCGTGTCATTCTGGGACATGCCAGATGGTTACGGAAATGAGCGAATGGGGATGAATGGTGATTGTGCACATGTTTCATTTCAATTTATATCATCCGATAGATCACAGTTTTAAGTTTTGGAGAAATAATTGTAGCTCTTTGTCCAGTATAAAAATGAAATGATGATTAATATGTAAGCTTCGTTATTACTGATTTATCCTTACTGTACACGATAACATATAAATAAAGCGCAATGCACTGGTGGTTGTCAACCCAAACACATATTAAAACAGTTGTCGGGGTTTGAGGTATTTTTTTCATTCCGCATTTAAAACTATTCACGCTGTAGGATAGAGGCCTAAAATTTGTCTGGACCAGACAATCCAGTGACCTGCCGAGGTTCGATGGCACACAGTCAACCGAGTCACCGCCCCTGACCACCCGATCTGTTTGGCCTCCTCTTACGACCAGTACATATAACAGGAACCAGGGGGCGGTGGTGCAACCTAGTGGCTAAAACGTTTGTTTGATATTTTGGTGCCCCGCAGTGATATTGCTGGAGTATAGCTAAAAGCGGCGTAAAACTAGTCTCACTCAATATAACAGGAACCAATTCTCGGAGTCTCCGTGGGGACAGCTCATGGGTGGGCTACCAATGCAATACTCCATTACGTCCAGTTTATTCTGTACTTACGACAGCTCATCAGAACAACGTACACACCGCATCGTCACACAGCGTGACAACCGTGGGTCCATTACACACTAACATCCACACAGTTAACACAGACCAATGTCAATATTATCACAAACTTATCATGTCGAGGCTTCAACATGATAACACACTACCAACGAATATTTGTCCTGACGGGCATTCTAATATACACACATATATACCTGGCAAACAATAGTCTATCTGGCTCAAGCCACTCCAGGCAGACTACGGACGCAGGGATTATCGAGGCGTTAAGGTTTGAGTAATCACGGTTTTTACTCTACTTAATGTCATCCATTGTCCTTTGTGAACATTTGTTCAGAAACAAAAGCAGCTTTCAGTTTTGTGGGACAATTCAGTACATGTACGTGCAGGTACTTCGTTTATTGGGGAGAGTATCGATTTCCACGGGATTTGCCGTTATGTGTTTATATTGACGATTTGCAAATGGCTATGTGGATATCAACATGTGTGATACAGATTTCATTAGTGCATTCCTCGTGAATATACATTCGCATGGGTTTGAAAACTGTTGCTAAAAGTGCATAAGATCACTA